TTAGCAAATATCGCCGTGGGCGCTTATTAGAGCGGGACGCTTATTACGTCGAATATGGTAAGACCTGTTTTGAAACTGGTTTGGGTTTTCTTAGAAAGCACAGCGTGAATAAACATGCAGAATGTCACCATGGTCACAACAAGTACCATGAGTCTGCCTTGGTGTTTGACAAGGCAAGGTACTGTCTAGTTGACCTGGCCCAGTGGGGGGAGGATTGGGTCATGGACATAATGTCATTGTCGTTTTTGTCATCTGGTTGGAGGAAATTTACGGCAGGCCTTGTGTGCTGTTGTCTTTATTGGTGGCTGGTCCTAGAGGGGTTAATTATATCTTTGACTGAGTGTCTTCATTGCTGTCAGCTGGTCCTAAAAGGGTTAACTGTGTGTTTGACTTCTTGTTTTCATAACTGGAATCTGGTCCTAGAAGGGTTAACAATTTCTTTTATTGTCTGCATTATTGTCTTCTGGTCCTAGAAGGGTTAACTATTTCTTGGATTTTCTGCATTATTGTCATCTGGTCCTAGAAGGGTTAACTATTTCTTTGATTGTCTGCATTATTGTCATCCGGTCCTAGAAGGGCTAGCTGTTTCTTTGATTGTATGCATTATTGTCATCTGGTCCTAGAAGGGTTAACTATTTCTTGGATTGCATTATTGTCATCTGGTCCTAGAAGGGTTAACTATTTCTTTGATTGTATGCATTATTGTCATCTGGTCCTAGAAGGGTTAACTATTTCTTGGATTGCATTATTGTCATCTGGTCCTAGAAGGGTTAACTATTTCTTGGATTGTCTGCATTATTGTCATCTTGTCCTAGAAGGGTTAACTGTTCCTTTGATTGTCTGCATTATTGTCATCTGGTCCTAGAAGGGTTAACTATTTCTTTGATTGTCTGCATTATTGTCATCTGGTCCTAGAAGGGTTAACTATTTCTTTGATTGTCTGCATTATTGTCATCTGGTCCTAGAGGGGTTAACTGTTTTTTTTGTTTAAAGCCTATCATAATAAACTAATTCAAAACATGGTATCCTAATCTGATAACAAGAACACTCAAAGTTCAAAGTCTTCACTGAATCAAGTTTTGCTTCAAACAAGGAAATCCTCAGTAAGCTTCAGGTGGCATTCTAGAAGCTGTTCTATCAATGGAGGGAGAGTTGACTTCAGCTTCTTTCAATGCAAAATTGTAATCAGTTCATGTAATATAAATTCAGGACAGTGTAAGCAAATACTTCATGCTTTTACATATTTTTGTGTGTTGATACCGTGGTCCTCCGGGGACCCCAAACAATATCACCAAAGTTCTTCAGGACAGAGCAGTACTCTGGTAAATTCCTGATCTGTCTGGATGAGTATTTTGTTGGTTTGTCTGCCACATCTTCACTCTCTTGAACCTCCCAGCTGCTGATCCTGCTTGGATTACTGAGGTGTGCTGTTCATTGTGTGAGGAGCCGGAACAAGACAGGACTATGTCTGAGGCCTGAACAATCAGGTACATTGTACTGCAGGTAGACTGGGAGGGGCTTTGTTGACTGGAGAGACTCTTCCTGTTTCATTTTTAGCTCACCTCACTGAAGTGTTTTTGAGATAATTTTCAGTTTATCACTTGCACAAAGCGATCTTACCGCTAAGATGATCCTAACTCCTAGACCCGTGAAGATTCCGGGGTAGAATAGGTCTTCAGCAACCTATGCTTGCCGTAAAAGGTGACCATGCTTGTCATAAAAGGCGACTAATGGGATCAGGTGGTCAGGCTCACTGACTTGGTTAATGCATGCCATCGCATCCGTATTGCGTGGATTGATGCTCAAGATGTCAATCACTGGATTGTCTGGTCCAGACTCGATTATTTACAGACCGACGTCACATAGCTGGAATATTGCTGAGTGCCGCATTAAACAACAAACAAACAAAACCATACATTTCATGATTGGCAGTTCATTCATGACATAGCATAATACCTCAGCATTCAGTATACAGTTATATTCATGATATTCAGTGGCCTACAGTAAATACTCGATCTTGAGTCTTCATTTTCAACCATGACTAAAGAGGAGTGTTTTAACTAACTTATGAACCGTCTAAATATAACAAGCACCAGAAAAAAACCTTGGCATAGTGAAACAATACAGTTGTCACGGTATAATACAATAATACACAAACTCGATAACAGTGGGCTAGAAAAAGACCACATGCAGAATGCAAACAACTGAAGTCATGACATGTGAGATTGAATACCCTTTAATCACTTGCCTAGTGGCTCAGTGGGAGAACAGGGGCTTACAATACAACGTTACAAAAAAGAGTATCACCTATTTTCGCAGCATCAAAACCTTTAAAACCTTAAAATAATTGTCAACTATATACACAAGCTTAGGTCATAGAGTTGTGGTTTTGTAGCTCTGGAAGGAATGGTCATATTCATCCGTCACAGCGATGTCACCATATCTCCTTTAAGGCTATTAGACGTCGGGGCCTTGCTGTCTGGTCCTGCAGACTGTGGTATGGTGCACTGTCCATGATAATAAGGGACTTGGCAGGCAAAGCAGGGACCAATTTATTTTTCACCCACTCCAGAAATAGCTTGCCATTCTCCACTGGGTACCCACTGACCTTAAAAATCATCTGTTTCACATCAGCTGAGTAGCACATCTTGTCAGTCAACAACCACGTAATGTTTACTATGTAGCACGTGCAGTTCATGTTTATCGCTGTTCCTCCTACCCTTGTGCCCCCCTCCGTTCAAGATGTCAAGGTGCGCACATAACAAAATGATAGTTTCTTGAACGACTTTTTCCAGTGATGGGAATAAAAATAACAAACAGCAGACATTGTTGGGTACAGGGTATTCATTGATTTTTAATATAATATTCCCCAGTTTGAGTTATTTTGCAATTCATTGTTCTCATTTGGGGCCAAACGGGCTGTCAGGCTGTGATCATGGAATGTATGTCAAGGGAGATAACTCTTTCTGCCCTCATGCCACTTGTATTATGAGGAGGTATTTCATTGCTGCTCTCAGCGTAGTGTTGAGATATGTTGCTTGATTTTCAGCAGTCTTTAGCTGTGTCTTAATATATTGTTTTTCCATGTCATACATTTATATAAGGAATGACCTATAACCGAAATAGAAATGTCAAAACAAGCCATGTTACAGGAGAAACAAAACTTAGTTCTCGGGTGCATTTGTCAGGCCCACTGTAACCATGTTAATTCTCCATTGAGGAAAAAGTCATTCTTAGATACCCAGATTAGACACACCATTTACACACTGTTATCACCCCAGCTATTTGCCTGTACATGTATTTCATTATTCACTGGTCAGCGATGATTGTGAATTTTCAGGAAGATGCTGCATGTGATTTTAGTTGTGCCTACCAAATGAAGTTTGAATATAGAAACAGATTACGTCGATACGTGAAACTTAATATATACATATCATGCATTCACTGGTACTTTGTGTTGTTCAGAAATTTTGGACAACCTCTGTTGTCTGGCCTCAGGAAATTGTGCCTGAAAACCACACACACACCATTTAGTTAAATCACCCACCCGAGTTCCCGGACTTAGCCCCTAGTGACTATTTCCTGTTCCGGCAAATGAAATCTGCCCTACATGGAAGACGCTTCCAGGATGACGAGGACATAAAGGTTGCCACAGAGGCCTGGTTAGAGGTCCAATCTGCAGATTTCTATAAAAGTAGTATTAAGAGCTTGAAGGACAAATTGAATAAGTGTATTGAGGTGAATGGAGATTATATTGAAAAATAAAAGTGCAAAAGATATTCTGCGACTTGGTCTTATATTGAAGTTGCAAAACTTATTGAACGCCCCTCGTATATTTTTTTGCATTTCAAATGTAACAAATTGGACTTTGGTTCAGATATGTATTGGATTCATTTTCAGAGTACAGTATATGGATTTCGATTTTTGTGATATATGTTGTCTGAACTTGCTCTGTGTTGTAACATGACTGTTAAAGTCGAGACGACCGCCTCCATGGTCTAGTGGTAGAGTGTCCGCCCGGAGAGCGGAAGGTCCGGGGTTCAATCCCCAGCTGCGTCATACCAAAAGACGTTAACAGATGGTACATGTTGTTACCCTGTCTGGCGCTCGGCATTAAGGGGCTAAAACAAGGACTGGTCGGCTCGGAGTCAGTATACTGTGTCTGAGTGGGGTATTCATGTTAAACTGCGGCATGGTATCTCAGTGAGCTAGCACTATAAATCGGCATCAGTCCGGACTAGTACAAACAGCCACACACACACACACACATACACATGCATGCACATCGCTATATAAGTGCAATAATCTTGGACGCGACGTTAAACCCCATTTCACCTCACCTCACCTCACCTCACCTCACCTCACCTCACCTAAAGTAGAGACAATTTATGGTTAACATCTTCTTTATTTACTGTAAAGGCGACGATTCAGTAGCAAGCCTTGCTTGACAATGATATAAGGATCTTTATCATCCCAAACTGGCTCCCACAGGAGATATGCTGGGTGATATCCTGCAATGAAATTGCATCACAATGATTTGCAGACCATTGTGATGTCATTGGTTACCATGACGTCACAATCAAATGACATCACTAATGGCTCTGCTACTGAAGCTGTTAGCGGTACTTTTTACAATGTTTACACTTAAGACACTGCTTATTACTGTCTACAATTTGAAAAAGTTGGAAGAATGATGTTGGATGATAAATAAAATCTCACCCTCGTGTCTTTTAATATGAATGAGCCTCGGAGTTTCCCCACTTTTATCAACTCGTGTTGATATATTTGATATCAAAAGACACTCGGGTGAGATTCTCTATATACTGAAACATCGCCTTTATTGTAAAGAAAGAAGTCCATAAATTGTGTCTATTTTGTCAACCGTCGACTTCTTGGTAATTCCTTTCAAACAATTTAACATGACTGTTTTTTCTGTGTTTAAACGTTACTGTTTTGCGTTGTTTCTGTGTTGTAACATAACTTTTGTCTTTGTGTTTTAGATAGCTGAACAGAAGTGCAACCCTAACGAGCGGGACTTAGATGGTGTGTCAGCTCTACACTTCGCTGCCTCTCGGAGCCACCATCAAGTGGTGGAGTGGCTGTTGAAACATGGAGGCCGGGTGACACTAGACAACCTCGGGGGGAGTCCGCTGCACAATGCTGCTGAGATGGGACACAAGCAGGTAGGCGTCACAACCTCCACTCCTGTCTCCACTCCTGTCTCCCCTCCTGTCTCCACTCCTGTCTCCCCTCCTGTCTCCACTCCTGTCTCCACTCCTGTCTCCACTCCTGTCTCCACTCCTGTCTCCCCTCCTGTCTCCGCTCCTGTCTCCGCTCCTGTCTCCCTCCTGTCTCCACTCCTGTCTCCACTCCTGTCTCCACTCCTGTCTCCCCTCCTGTCTCCGCTCCTGTCTCCGCTCCTGTCTCCCTCCTGTCTCTACTCCTGTCTCCGCTCCTGTCTCCACTCCTGTCTCCCTCCTGTCTCTACTCCTGTCTCCCTCCTGTCTCCCTCCTGTCTCTACTCCTGTCTCCCTCCTGTCTCCACTCCTGTCTCCCTCCTGTCTCCACTCCTGTCTCCCTCCTGTCTCCACTCCTGTCTATACTCCTGTCTATACTCCTGTCTCCACTCCTGTCTCCCCTCCTGTCTCCACTCCTGTGTCCGCTCCTGTCTCCTCTTGTCTCCACTCCTGTCTCCCTCCTGTCTCCCCTCATGTCTCCGCTCCTGTCTCCCCTCCTGTCTCCACTCCTGTCTCCACTCCTGTCTCCCTCCTGTCTCCACTCCAGTCTCCCCTCCTGTCTCCACTCTTGTCTCCACTCCTGTCTCCTCTCGTCTCCACTCCTGTCTCCACTCCTGTCTCCACTCCTGTCTCCGCTCCTGTCTCCTCTCGTCTCCACTCCTGTCTCCACTCCTGTCTCCCCTCCTGTCTCCACTCCTGTCTCCGCTCCTGTCTCCCCTCCTGTCTCCACTCCTGTCTCCCTCCTGTCTCTACTCCTGTCTCCACTCCTGTCTCCCTCCTGTCTCCACTCCTGTCTATACTCCTGTCTCTACTCCTGTCTGCACTCCTGTCTCCACTCCTGTCTCCCTCCTGTCTCCCCTCCTGTCTCCACTCCTGTCTCCGCTCCTGTCTCCTCTCATCTCCACTCCTGTCTCCCTCCTGTCTCCACTCCTGTCTATACTCCTGTCTCTACTCCTGTCTCCACTCCTGTCTCCCCTCCTGTCTCCACTCCTGTCTCCACTCCTGTCTCCCTCCTGTCTCCCTCCTGTCTCCCCTTCTGTCTCCACTCCTGTCTCCTCTCCTGTCTCCCCTCCTGTCTCCTCTCATCTCCACTCCTGTCTCCCCTCCTGTCCCCACTCCTGTCTCCCTCCTGTCTCCACTCCAGTCTCCCCTCCTGTCTCCACTCTTGTCTCCACTCTTGTCTCCACTCCTGTCTCCTCTTGTCTCCACTCCTGTCTCCACTCCTGTCTCCACTCCTGTCTCCGCTCCTGTCTCCTCTTGTCTCCACTCCTGTCTCCCTCCTGTCTCTACTCCTGTCTCCACTCCTGTCTCCACTCCTGTCTCCACTCCTGTCTCCGCTCCTGTCTCCTCTTGTCTCCACTCCTGTCTCCACTCCTGTCTCCCTCCTGTCTCCCCTCCTGTCTCCACTCCTGTCTCCTCTTGTCTCCACTCCTGTCTCCCTCCTGTCTCTACTCCTGTCTCCACTCCTGTCTTCGCTCCTGTCCCCACTCCTGTCTCCGCTCCTGTCTCCACTCCTGTCTCCCCTCCTGTCTCCGCTCCTGTCTCCCCTCCTGTCTCCACTCCTGTCTCCACTCCTGTCTCCACTCCTGTCTCCCCTCCTGTCTCCGCTCCTGTCTCCCCTCCTGTCTCCCCTCCTGTCTCCACTCTTCTCCCCTCCTGTCATGTAACTTGTGACCGACCCAGTCAGTTGTAACAAACTGTCCTCTTGTAACAAGCTGAGTTCTCACGGGTACTGTCCCCCTAGCTCTGCCCCCTCCTGACATGTGGGGCCGTAGACACGTGTGTGTGGCGTGTGTGGTATTGATAAGAAGCTCAGGTGCTGTTGGACATGGAGAATTAATCATTCCCCGGATTACTCTTTGATGTTGGGTTGGTGGTTGAATGTGAGGGAATATATCTTGTATTTAGCATTCAAGCATACACTGGTCACTTTGATCGGTAGGTTGCAAACATACACGTGTTCAAAAAGACTAGCTTTGTTTCTTTTTCAATGTTTCTTTTCACAAACTGATTCATATTAAAAGCTGTATCTTTTTCTATGTAATTGCCAATCTCTATATTAAAGAAGTCAGTAAAATCCCTCTTAAAGTATGACCTACATGACACAATGTCTTCTTTATTTTTTGAGATTTGACACAAACCAGTTCATTAAAACAGATATTGTTGATTACCAATCTCATTCTTAAATGGCCCATTACTGGTGCTGTGACATTGCTGGAATATTGCTAAAAGAGGCGTAAAACCATGCTCACTCACTCACTCACTCACTCACTCACTCACTCACTCACTCACTCACTCACTCACTCACAAAGAAGTATATAAGAATAAAATCCTTCTTAAAGTATGACCTACACAACACATTCATTGTCTTCTTTCTTTTTTTTTAAGACACAAACAAGTTCATTAAAAATAGTATTGTTTGGTATGTAATTACCAAAGTCATTCTTAAAGAAGTCCCTTTCTTAAGTCGAACCTACACAACACATGGCCCTGTTAAACAGGTTAGAGGCCTCCATCAAGACAGGATGTCTCACAAGGGGGAGACCTGTAGATTACACACAGTGATGCTGGCTCATTATGAGAAGTAGAGTGTCCCTCCCGCTACTTAGCAAGTGGTCGCTGTGTACTTAGCCTGACTGAAGCTTTCTCCCCCAGATAGAGGGAGGAATCAGGGATGTATGGGAGACAGATCCCCCATGTTTGCCTCCCTTGTGCAAACACTTGCCTTGTGTTTCTTTTGGACATAGGTGATGGGAGTTTATCACGTATCTTACTTACATATCTCTAGTGGACAGAGGTGATGGGAATATATCATGTATTATACTTACATTGGGAGCTGTGATGGTAAAGATTGGGTTGAATTGTGGCTCAAGTTGAACTTTATCTGGGTAGAAACGATTACTGGAATGATTTCCTTTTTTCATAGCTTTTTCACTGTGCAGAGTTGTGTCCCTTAGGCATGCCAGGAACATATGCTCGTAGGTTTGAATCCCTGATTCACTCTGTTGTGTTTCTAGGTTTGTCAGTGCTTGTGGGTTTCACCAAAGTGGTAAATGTCTAAGACCTGCATCACTTTGGGCTTTCCTCCCACATCAAGCTGACGCTCTGTGATATAACTAAAATACTGTTCAAAACAGCGATAACTTTACTCACTAAGAATATTCATGGCTGCTTGGTTTGCTATACAGGGTATATGGTTTCAACACTTAAGATTTGAAAAAATATTTCCCTATGGGTATTTTGGCCTAGAATAGGTCCCCAGCAGCCTATGTAAGGTGAGCAAGACAATGGATCAGGCAGTCTGGCTGATTGATTGTGGGGGCGGTCGGGTAGCCTAGTGGTTAAAGCGTTCGCTCATCACGCCGAAGATCCAGGTTCGATTCCCGACATGGGTACAATGTGTGAAGCCCATTTCTGGTGTCCCCCGCCGTGATATTGCTGGAATATTGCTAAAAGCGGCGTAGTGGTTAAAGCGTTCGCTCGTCACGCCGAAGATCCGGGTTCGATTCTCGACATGGGTACAATGTGTGAAGCCCATTTCCGGTGTCCCCCGCCGTGATATTGCTGGAATATTGCTAAAGGCGGCGTAAAACCATACTCACTCACTAGAATAAATTATACAGGTTACCACATTTTAAGATCCTTGTGAATGTGTGAGTGAGTGAGTGAGTTGGATTGTACACCGCTTTTAACAATATTCAAGAAACATCCTCAGGGGTCACCAGAAATGGGCTTCAAACATTGTATCCATGTGGAGAATCGAACCTGGGCCTTCAATGTGACAAGCAAATGCTTTAACCACCAGGCTATCCTACTCACTTCATTGTGTGTCATCGTACATAGATGGTGTTGATAATTGCTCATAATATCAGTTACTGGTTTGTTTTTGTTTGTTGTTTGTTGTTTTACGCCGCACTCAGCAATATTCCAGCTGTATGATTCTAGACTAAACAATCAAGGGATTGACATCATGAGCATCGATCCACACAATTAGGATACGATGACATGCATCAACCAAATCAGCATCAAGTCAGTGGGCCTGACCACCCAATTCCGTTAGGCCTCTCACGACAAGCATAGTCGTCTCTTACTGTAGGAATAGGTTGAAGACCTATTCAAACGCAGATTTTCACGGGTGTATTGGATGTCTAGTCCAGATTTGATTGCTTACAAATTAAAAAAATGTGAAAGAAAAACAACAGTAAAATAATATTGTAATTGAAACAATTGAAGAAATTAATAATTGATTAGGATATGTAGTATTGTCTGGAGCGAACTGCATTTTGGTAGGTGTGGTAAGACAATCCTAACTCACTTCCTGGGGGCACGGGTGGCCAGAAACCTATGATTGTGGGTTTGAATCCCAGTTCGCCCAATTTATGTTTCTAGGTTTGTCAGCACAATACCCGTGCTTGTGGGTTTCACCAAACTGGTAAACGTCTAAGACCTGCATCGCTTGGGGATTTCCTCCAACAATAAGCAGACATGCCGAAATATGACTGGAATACTGATAAAAGCAGCATTAAACACAACTCACTCACTGATCCAGTTAGCCACTCACTCACTCACTCACTCACTCACTCACTCACTCACTCACTCACTCACTCACTCACTCACTCACTCACTCACTCACTCACTCACTCACTCACTCACTCACTCACTCACTCACTCACTCACTCACTCACTCACTCACTCACTCACTCACTCACTCACTCACTCACTCACTCACTCACTCACTCACTCACTCACTCACTCACTCACTCACTCACTCACTCACTCACTCACTCACTCACTCACTCACTCACTCACTCACTCACTCACTCACTCACTCACTCACTCACTCACTCACTCACTCACTCACTCACTCACTCACTCACTCACTCACTCACTCACTCACTCACTCACTCACTCACTCACTCACTCACTCACTCACTCACTCACTCACT